TTTTGGTATTTTGTTTTGCTTTGGTTTTTTGAGACAGTCTTGCTATGTAGTTTAGCCTGGCCTTGAACTTACTATGTAGCCCAGGCTGGCCTCAAACTCATGGTGATCTTCCTGCCTCAGCCTCCTGAGGGCTGAGATTATAGGTATTCGCCACTATGCCCAACTACTTTGGGTTTTTTAACAACTTACCAGTCTAATTATTTAAACACAGGATAAGGCAGGTGCGGTGGTACGTGCCTGTAATCCTAGCACTCAGGAGGCTGAGGCAGGAGGATCACTGCGAGTTCAAGGCCAGCCTGGGCTACAAAGTGAGCTCAAGGCCAGCTTGAACTGCATAGTGAGACCCTGTCTCAAAAAGACAAAAATGGGGGCTGGGGATTTAGCTCAGAGGCACAGCACCTGCCTGGCAAGTGCAAGGTCGTGAGTTCGATTCCAGGTACTAGAAAAAAAGTCAAAAAAAAAAAAAGACTAAATAAATAAATAAATACAGGATGACCAAAAATAGCATATTGTTTGTTAATTTTATAAAACCACAGGAAATATAAAAATGATGATTTTATTGAGTTTATTCAACACAATAATTAATTATTCAGCTGGTTGGGACGAGTGGTGCTTGGAACAGGCAGCACCTACACCCGGGGTAAACTGGCAAGTGCTTCAGTGCTTGATTTCAGACCGAACAGCTCTCACCGCTGGGACGAATGGACAGCACGCTTCCCGCTCTGCTCCCCCCGGCACGAACGGCAGCTCGCTCTTGCTAGCGTGTGACGGGAAACTGGCTGAGCAGAGTTTTCCCAACCCTGTCCTTTCTCTAGGTGAGGATCACGGTACTGGAGGACAACGATCCCTTGGCCCAGTACCACTACCTGGTGACGGTCTACACCGGGCACCGGCGAGGGGCGTCCACATCCTCAAAGGTACCACAGAGCACTCAGGAGGCTGAGGCAAGAGGATTGCAAGTTCGAGGCTAGTCTGAGCTACAAAGGGAGACTGTGTCTCACAAAACCAAGCAAAAGTAAACAAAGGGGAGTGGGAAAACTCCTGCCGCTGCAGCTGACGCTGAAAGAAGGATCCAGGTGCAAGTGGTTTATCTGGGATGGACCCCAGGGAGCGCCAGGGAGTAGCAGAGTTGGGGGGCACACCAGGAAGGGAAAACAGCCAGGAAAGGACGCCGGACTGAGCGGCCGCCCTGTGGGCACAGCGCCCCAACTCCCACTGGGGGCCCAGAAGCAGAGCAAGGGGCTGGGGATTTAGTTCAGTGGCACAGCGCCTGCCTGGCAAGCGCAAGGCT